CTAATTATTTTTACTTATAAAAAGAGATCTTACTTTATACATGGTTCGAGGTAAGTTTTGGGTTAAGTGACAAAAACTTTGTGGAATCAATATAATAGGCAATTGACAACAAATTTTCTTTTTAAATCCGATACCGATGTAATGTTCGAAAAAATTGACAAACACTAAACAATTTAAATAGTAAATTGGAAAATATACAAGTTAAAAATATAACCACATTTGTATATAAGAAATACCTGAAGAAAATAAAGAAAATTTAAGATCTAAAATGTCCCAAACATTGGAAAAGGCCAAACTTGATAATTAGGCCAATAATATTATACCTACCTATAAAATTGGCAAAATAGTAATAAATCCCGTCCAGTTATAATAAAATTCAGTAGCAATGAAGATAATGTGGCGGTGTGGAGCTCGCTGGAATGTTCGGGAAGGTGAAGTGGGTCACGTATGCTCTGAATATAAGGACAAATAAATAGACTATTATATATAAGAGTCTATTTATTTGCCCTTATATTCAGAGCATACGTGACCCACTTCACCTTCCCGAACATTCCAGCGAGCTCCACACCGCTCTCGATCGCTCGAGCGCCGACTGTATACAGTAGTGATGTAAATAATTAGTTTAGTGATTAGTTAGTTTTATAGTTTCTTAGTTATAAAATAAATCGTTTAGATCGTAAATAAACTAGTTCGTGTTTTATTCACACTACGAACTGATAAAAACGTTACAATTGGTGTCAGGTGTGCGGTTAGTGTGAAAATTCGTAAAAATGGTTTCGTTAATGGACTTAAATGTGGCGGACCTTAAGCGGGAGCTGGAAATGTAAAACAACTGGAAAAAAGATTGTGTTGCAGCAGTGGCTTTAAGAAGCGTTGGAACCGGAACTTGAAAATCCAGATACGTATTTATTTGAAGGCCCGTGTGATATTATGCATTTATTGTTGCAAAAATTAAACAAAAAATTTTTAGAGAATTTTACTAAAATGCTAGAAAATTCTAACAAGTTACAACAGAAAATGCTAGACAATTCTAAAGATTTAAAGGTCGATTTATTATTGTTTTGTACTCATTTTAAGTCTCGAAAAAAAAATATATATATACAGTGTGTCCCGCTTTTCATAAATCCACCCTTATATCTCAGTTATTAATAATGCGATTTGCTTGAAATTTGGGTGGTGATTGTATGTTGGAGAAATAAAATATTTGCTAAAGTATTTTTTTTATTTATCATTGGCGTACGGTGTTAGGGGGTAAAAGGGGGTCGATTTTTCGGCAAAAGGATTTTAGGGCTTATTTTAGATAAATTTTTCAATCATATTTAGATTCAGCATCCCCAAAAACCCCTTAATCCATATTCTTAAAATCTCAAAAACTGATTATGGCAGAAACGAAAAATTAATTAATTCATCAAGACATTTTTAATTTTTTACAACTTGTTTATTTAATTGCAATAACAAACCTAAACATTAATATTTTTTTAAATTCTGGTCTCTTCTACATAACCATCTTCCACTCACTTTTCTTAAAGTTTGGGAGTAATTTCTTGACACGCTTGCCTAATTCTGACGCAAAGTTGTTCTCTGTTACGCGGCCGAGTAAAATACATTTTATTTTTCAAGTATCCCCATAGAAAAAAATCACAAGGGGTAATATCAGGTGATCTAGGGGGCCATGGTTCTAAAGCGCTATTTCTACCTATTCACTTCATAGGAAAATTTTCATTTCAAAAATTTCTCACTCTCAGGGAATAATGTGCGGGGGCACTATCTAATTGGAAGTATAAATTTTCTCTCTGTGCTGAAGGCAATTCCATTAAAAAATCATGAACATCATTTTATAAAAAATTTTAAAATTTTCTCCGTTGAGGATATCCAGAAAAAAGGGGCCAACAATTCGTTCGTTTAATATGCCACACCACACGTTTTGACTTTTTGACTATTGGTTTTTACAATTATTTACAAAGTTGGGATTTTCGGATGCCCAATATCTATAATTTTAACTAGACACCACACCGTTTGTGGTAAATGTTGCCTCGTCAGTAAATATTATGTTTTTAAAAAAAATATCTATAGTCAAGATATTTACCTTGCAACCATAAGCAAAATTCAAACCGTCGTTCAAAATCACCATCTAAGAGAGTATGTAGAAATTTTGGCTTAAATGCCTTAATCCTATTGGGCTTTAAACTCCTCCATATTTTATTTTTGGTTAAATTTAGTGTCCTCGCAACTGCCCTTATACTACCATTTAGATTGTTCCGAAATTCTGCTAAGATGCTTTCGTCGTCTGGATATTGTCGTCGATTTAAATTGTACTTTCTTGGTCTTATTTTCAACACGGCTCCGGTTCTTGCAAACAATTTTTTGATATCACCAACAGTTTTGTGCCAAATTGGTGCACGATCATGATGACGCTGATTAAATATTCGAGCAACCTGACGCGTAGATCTTTCATTATCACCAATTAAGCGGATAATTTCAACTTTGTCTTCAATTGTAAGAACTACTCTCTGATTTTAAGCCATTTTATTAATGCATTGATAAATGACACTGTTTAACTTTTGACAATTCGTACGAATTGCCAAATGTCAAACAAAAACTTGGGTTTCAAATAACTCTTTGATTTAATGTGCGTGATGTCTTAATAAATTAATTCATTTTTTATTCTGCCGTAATCAGTTTTTTAGATTTTAAGAATATGGAATAAGGGGTTTTTGAAGATGCTAAATCTAAATATGGTTGAAAAATTATCTAAAATAGGCCCTAATATCCTTTTGCCTAAAAATAGACCCTCTTTTACCCCCTATAACCGTACGCCAATGATAAATACAAAATTTTACTATGGCAAATATTTCATTTCTCCAACATACAATTATCACCCAAATTTGAAGAAAATCGCCTTAACACGTTGATGGACACAGACAAATTTTTGGCCGGACCTGCTGCGTCACTTAAATAATTCATACACCTTTTATCCTATCATCAAAAAATTTTACCGGTAACTTGATGATGCCTTTAGGGCTGTATATGGCCTTTAAAAAAGTTTGACGGCTATAGCCGTCATGCCCCACTATGAGATTTTTTTCAAAAAAAAGGTGTGGTGGGACACGACGGTCATAACCGTCCATGTTTTTTTCATTTCTACTTATCCATTATGGTAGTATAAAGTCACTGGTGAACAAATTAATTAATAATTAATTAATAAATTAATAATGACAAAAAGTCTAGATTCAAATTTAAATAGTTATTTTTAATCTCAACAGTAACATAAGTAAATAATTATTGGCAAAGCACGGAACGGCGCATAGTGCCGGTTTGTCTACACAATTCTTGCACCTTAGACTTGTCTCTCTTCTGTGATTTGGCGATGTCTAGGTTCAATTTTTTCTTATATTCTTATGAATATTACCAGTGATGGGTCAAGAAAGTTTCTTAAAGAAACTAAGAAAATTGAATGTTTACCTTTCTGTGATTTTCTTTTGAACACTGCTTACATCTCAAGTAGTATTTTGGGCAAGAAAAATCGGCAGGTTTAGGTATATATTCCTGAAAGTGTTGCTGTTCTCCAATTCCAAGTGGTCTTCTCTGATCCAGAACGGCTCCCCGCTGTGCTGGACCCAATTTCGTCATTATTCGAGCATCTTTTATTGCTGGATCTATTCCACACAAAGATTTTATCAACGATTCCCGAAAATCTATAAACTGGCACTTGGGTTGAGTTTTTTTATAAATGAAAAAACTATTCCAGGCGGCAATGTCCAGAAGGTGGAAGAGAACTTTCTTGTACCAAAACAGGGTTTTTCTGGGAGAGGAATAATATGATAACATTTGATCAGCTCTGTCAATGCCTGACATGTATTTATTGTATTCAGCTATTTCAAGTGGTTTTATTTTCTCCGCTCTATATTTGTTTTGGGTTTCAATAAGTGCAGGATGATGGGCAGTAGTAAGGCAAAGAACATCCCGTTTGTCCTTCCACTTAGAAACATATACCCCTCTTTGTCGTAGCCAGATACGCTCACCTCGTGAAAGTTTTGCCTTTGTGACTAATTGTGGAAGATGTTTGCGATTGGAACGCAATGTTCCAGTCACATGTGTACGAACCTCTTGCAGTTTGTTGGCCAAGTTGATTGTGTTATAATAATTGTCCATAAAAAAATGATGGCCTTTATTCAAGTATGGCCTCATCAATCTTAGTGTAAGAGCTTCGATCTTTGACGTGTTCTCGTCAAGGTGCTCTTCACCCTGCCCCTTGTAAATTTCAATATTTAAAACGTAACCGTCATGAGAACAAAGCTCGTAAAATTTTATGCCATACTTAGTTTTTTTGTTTTTCATGTATGTTCGAAATGAGAGCCTCCCACGAAATAGTAGCATACTTTCATCCAGTGATAACTCTTTCTCCGGCTTAAATGCTGACTGGAAGTTAAAATTACACATGTTTATAAGCCTTCTTACTTTTGCCAACCTATCCACTTTATTATTTTCATCATCATCTGCATGAACAGAAAAACAACGCAAAATTTGCTCGAATCGACGGCCAGACATCACATTACTAAAAACGGGATGGTAGTTTAAAGGGTCTAAACTAAACAACTTTCTGACAGAGTGGCATTTGATTTGTCCTTGCAATAAACATAAACCAATAAATTTCTTTATTTCATCCCTAGTTACCGTGATGAACTGCGCGTTTCGAGAATATCTTTTTTTTGGACGGTTTATATTACTGGTTTTGTTTCCATAGCTGTTAGTTGAATTGACCAATAATGTCATAATATCGTAATTCCAAATTTGATCAAAAATATTAAGAGGTGTTGAGTTTCTGTCGACGTTTATTTGTATACCTATCTGTTCATTAAACTGAAAATCTTCTATATGTACTGTATCCTCATACCATTCATTGTCTTGTTCAACATCGCCATCATTGTTCTTAGCCTCCCTCGTGGTCACAATAATGTCCTAAAGTAAATATGATATAAATGTTATTCACTGTAAATTATTTATAAATAATATACTTCTGGCGATTCTGGTTCTTCTACCTCCATTGGCCTCCGAACATTTTCTTCGTCACTTCTCCCATCTTCAGAAGCGGAATCATCATTGCTGGGACGATAACTTTCGTCTGAATCGGTTTCGTAAGTATCAGAGATGTCATCAGAGTCCACCTCTTCATAGAGTTTTAGCAGTCGTTCCTTCTCCTTTGGGTCCATGCCCTGAAAAGTAGGTATAACTTTGTATTTTGTAAAATACCCATAAATACCTATAAATATCTGTACCTAAAAGTAGGTGTAATTTTGTATTTTGTAAAATACCCATAAATATATATATATATAAATCAGCGCAAAAAAGTTTTCCTATGTATAGCTTGCAAATGAAGGTACGGTTTATACCTAAAAATATCTATAAATACTTATAATTTATAAGTTATAAAATACCTATAAATAATAAAAAAAATTATTTTATAAAAAGAAATTGCGTTTTTAGGACGAGAAAAAAGGTTTTAACGATAAAAATATAGTTATAGAAGTTATATAGTGATAAAAAATAATATAATTGTTCAAAAACTTATACTTACTAGCTTTGTTACATCAAAACACAATAACAACAACAACAAACATGGCCGAATTTTAGGTTAAGAATGGCGCTTGACAGATACTCATAAAAATTAATTTGCAACCAACTACATTCTGCAACCAAAAATACATGATGTCTCATGGGACACATATATCAGAGCTAGTCCATCGAAAAATAAGTCGACATGCATGGTAATTTTTTTCTCCAAAACCCCTCCTAAGGGAGATACAGCCCTTCAAAGTTGAGTTTTAAAAATCTTTTTTTTGTCATAACTCTCAGGAAATAAAAGAGTTTTTGACCAAATTTGGTACAAGTACTTATGAAATAGGTACTCGTTACCTGACGTAAGTAACTTTTGCCAAAATTGTCCAGTGACGTAGATACAGGGGGGTTGTTTCACTTTTTCCACCCCATTTTTTACGCCACTGGATATTGGTTTAAATTGACCTATTTTTATAATTCCTTGTTCAATTAAGAGAAAAAAAGCCACCCATGTCAAATTTTGATTTAAGGCTTTGTTTACGAGATAATTGAGTTAAAAAAAAACATACAGTTCTGCAAAGTTCAGTTTTAAATATCTGTTTTTTATCATAACTCTTACTCTAATATCGCTAAAGCGTTTTTCACCAACTTTGATACAAGTACTTATGAAGTAGATACTCGTTACTTGACCCAAGTAACTTTTGTCAAAATTGTCCATTGGCGTACATACAGGGGTTGTTTCAATTTTTCCGCCCAGGATTTCACTGAAAAATAACTCGACAGGCATTGTTTTATTTTCTTCAAAATTCAATTTTAAGATTTATCTTTTCGTATAAGAATATTTGATTAAATTTGGTATAGGTATTTAAAATAGGTAATCAACACTATTTTTAGTTTAAATTATCAAATGGCATACTACTTTTGGAAACGGATAAATGTGATAATTATTGATTATGATAATAAAAAACGATACGTACTAAATAAATCATAATAACATTTTAATAAGGAATTCAAACTTTTACAAATGAATTAATTTAACAATTGTTCAAAATGCGAACCGTTCTGCTGTATGCACATTTGGCTACGTCTAATGATGTTCTGGTTTAAGCTTAATAGCACATTGCAATTAATTTCTGCACACGCATTCTGGATTCTTTGTAGAAGCTCTTCCCTTGTGGGCACAGGTGTGGCATAGACCTTGTCTTTAAGGTGACTCCATAGATAGAAATCTAATGGTGTCAAATCCGGTGATCGCGGCGGCCATGCTTAATAATTATTAAGTGGCATGATGCGCTTTATCCAATAAAATTAGGGCGGCCCCACTTTAATATGAACTGTCAGTCTTAAACAACTGAAATAGCTGTCAGAGTGTTAATAAAGGTTTTTTAGAGTTAATACAAGTATCCTGTAATCATAAATATGCCTTTTCGATTCACGAACCAAGAATACGCCGATATTCACTTCATTTATGAATATTTGATTAAATTTGGTATAGGTATTTAAAATAGGTAATCAACACTTGACGTATTTTTATTTAAAATTATAATTTTAAATAAAAATACGTCAAGTGTTGATTACCTATTTTAAATACCTATACCAAATTTAATCAAATATTCTTAAACGATATGAGAGTTTTAACAAAAAGGGCTTTATGTCTTTTCTGAGGACGTTTTGAAGAAAATAAAACAATCCATGTCGAGTTATTTTTCAGTGAAATCCTGGGCGGAAAAAGTGAAACAACCCCTGTATCTACGCCAATGGACAATTTTGACAAAAGTTACTTGGGTAAAGTAACGAGTATCTATTTACTAAGTACATGTATCAAAGTTGGTAAAAAACGCTTTAGCGATCTTAGAGTTAGAGTTATGACAAAAAAAAGATATTTAAAACTGAACTTTGCAGTACTGTATGTTTTTTTTTAAACTCAATTATCTCGTAAACAAAGCGTTAAATCAAAATTTGACAAAAGTGGCTTTTTTTTCTCAAAATTGAACAAGGAATTAGAAAAATAGGTCAATTTAAACCAATATCCAGTGGCGTAAAAAATGGGGTGGAAAAAGTGAAACAACCCCCCTGTATCTACGTCACTGGACAATTTTGACAAAAATTACTTACGTCAGGTAACGAGTACCTATTTCATAAGTACTTGTACCAAATTTGGTCAAAAACGCTTTTATTTCCTGAGAGTTATGGCAAAAAAAAGATTTTTAAAACTCAACTTTTAAGGGCTGTATCTCCCTTAGGAGGGGTTTTGGAGAAAAAAATTACCATGCATGTCGACTTATTTTTCGATGGACTATCGAATGGTGAATTATTGCTACTATAACCTGGACCACCCTGTATATATTAGACTGGTTAAAAAAAATCGAATATTTTTTTTCTTCAAAGCCCGCATTAAAATATCTTCCTAGTAGGGAAAAAAGAAGCCTGTGAAAATTGTAGCTCTTAATATTAATATTTAGAGGTCGCTCATCGTGAATTTCTATTTTACGTTTAAATAACACAGGAATTCTTTTTTCTTAACTTTGAAATTTTATAACTCGTTTTTGAGTGAACATATTGGAATGAACACTATATATTTTTGAAGAAAATTGAACGTTCTACATAAAATGTCTCCTGTAATTTTTTCATAAATTCACTTCTTTTATAGTTATTCAAGGTTGAAATTAGACATATAATAAATTGAACGTTTTTTTTCAATTGGTGGCATAATAATAAACCTTATCACTCATTATTGTACAGGATGGTCCAATTTGTAATACATTAATTTTAATAGGTGATAAAGCATCAAAAATAAGTTAGACTTTCATAAAAAAACATTTCTTAAAAATGTTTCCTAAGAGAAATACAGGCCGTCAAAGTTTACAAAAAAAAATAGTTTTCTCTTGATAACTTTTAAACCACAAAATTAATTTGGCACACAATGTAATATAGTCAGTGCTTTAATAATGATGTAGATAATTATTTAAAAAAAAACATCAGTGCCGCAGTTACTTGGGGGACTGCTTCCATTTTCACCTCAGTCTTTGACCCCGGGAAATTTTAAAATAATAAATAAATGTTTAGGTCAAGTTTTTAATTAAGGGAAAAAATTTGCTCTGGTAAAATTTTGATTTGGGGCTTCATTTCTAAAATATTTGCTTAAAAATGTTTCCTCGCAAAATTACATTTTTATATTGTCTGTTCAATTTAGAGATAAAAAAAACTACTGTGCTAAAATTTTAATTTAGGGCTTCGTTTTTGAAATATTTGGGAAAATCACTCCAAAAAAACGGCAAAAGTATTCTTGGATAAATAAATTAATTATTTAAAAAATGAAGCACTAAATTAAAATTTTACTTGAGTAGTTTTTTTCTCTAAATTAAACAGATAATCTAAATTGTGTTTATTATTTAAAAAAATTCCAGTGGCGCCTAAGGTGAAAAGGGGAGCAGCCCCCCAAGTAACTGCGGCACTGATGTTTTTTTTAAATAATTATCTACATCATTATTAAGGCACTGACTATATTACATTGTGTGCCAAATTAATTTTGTGGTTTAAAAGTTGTGAAGAGAAAACCATTTTTTTTGTAAACTTGACGGCCTGTATTTCTCTTAGGAAACATTTTTAAGAAATGTTTTTTTTATGAAAGTCTACCTTATTTTTGATGCTTTATCACCTATTAAAATTAATGTATTACAAACTGGACCATCCTGTACAATAAAGAATGATAAGGTTTATTATTATGCCACCAATTGAAAAAAAAACGTTAAATTTATTATGTCTAATTTCAACCTTGAATAACTATAAAAGAAGTGAATTTATGAAAAAATTATAAGAGACATTTTTTGTAGAGCGTTAAATTTTCTTTAAAAATATGTGTCGCTTATTCCAATATGTTCACTTAAAAACGAGTTATAAAATTTCAAAGTTAAGAAAAAAGAATTCCTGTGTTATTTAAACGTAAAATAGAAATTCACGGTGAGCGACCTCTAAATATTAATATTAAGAGCTACAATTTTCACGGGCTTCTTTTTTCACTACTAGGAAGATATTTCAATGCGGGCTTTAAAGAAAAAAAAATATTCGATTTTTTTGAACCAGTCTAATATATATATATATATTTATATATATATATTTTTACTTGTTGTTTGTTTATGTTATTTATTACTGCTCATTATTTAGTACCTGCATGATACAGGTTGTATTTATATTTAATATTTATATTTAATACTTTTGTAAAATAATTGTTGACTTGTCCTATACTCTGTTTTGTAGTAAAAAAGATTAATAACTTTATTATTATTATTATTATTATTATTATTATTATTATTATAATAGAAATACAGATTCTAGACCTTAATTGGTATGTATGCAGCTTCTGAAGTTTTTCCGCATATAATTATAATTATATGTTGACTTGCCCCCGGCAGATTTTGGATGTCCTCCAGGATTTTCACTATAATAATAAAATATAATAAACTTCAGGTTTTTCATGCAGGAAAATATGTTTATTTCGTCTGACAATTCTCTATATCTGGTTGATGTTATTTTAAAAGATGAAATAAGTTATTATTAGAAAAGGAGGTCATACTTTTTCTGAAGGTTTCCCTTTGATTCATTTTTAATGATTAAATAGCACACTTTTTATCTTACTTTTTTCCACGACCATAGCTGG